CCCCCCCCCCCCCCCCCCACACCCTCCCCGGCACTGCACCATTGCACCAACCCCCCACGCACGATGACGGCCAGTTGTTGTCTTGGGTGGCCCGCCTTTTGTTGTGTTGCTTTTGTGTTATCTGGTGTTGTTTTGTTTGATTGTTTGTCGCTACGGCAGTGACTGTAGCTTGTGCCTTTCTCTGTGATATTTCTCTCTCTCTTTCCCTTCTCTCCACCTGCTCTCTTGGTCTGCGTATTTCCAGCAAGGATGACTGTAGTCTATATAAGTAATCTCATTGGACTCGTGGTAACCACAGCCATGGTGATTCTCATATCACCATGAAACCTGGGTGACCATCGTTTACCATGGAGATCACCATGGAGATCACCATGGTTAGCCATGGAGATCATCATGGCGATCTCCATGGTTAACGATGGTCAATCTCACTATGGTTAACCATGGGTAACCATGGCGTTCTCCATGGTTGATCATGGAGTCTCCATGGTTAACCAAGGTCATTTTCTCCATTGTTCATCACCATGGTGATTCACCACGGTTATCCATGGGTAGCCATGGTTAACCACGGTGATCACCATGGGTATCCATGGAGAATCTCCATGGTTAACCATGGGTAACCATGGTGAAAAATTGGATAATGTACAAGACCCCATCTTCTAAGCACCCACCTGCCGCTGCAGCGGCTACCGCGAAGAGAAAGGTCGTGGATCGAGGGAAGCAAGCCAGGGAGAGAGCTGCCAAACGCACTTTAGGCGGCAACATCTGTAACGCGTTCGCGATTGGCAGCGGACAACCGGTGAGTTCGTTTATCTGACGCACGCAAATGATTTGTTCGCTACACAAGTGTTGGTAGATTTAATAAGAACTCCCATGAAAACGATGGCAACAAATAAACTTCGTTCGTGTGTAGTCTACATGTATGTATGTTGTGAAATCTTGTGCTCAGTCCATCCCATAGCGTGTGCATAAATAGAAAATAGTATGTAGTGTAGATATTCTAGGTTGAACGTCGGCGACCTAATTTTGAGTATGCACTGTACACTCTTACTTGGCGCAACATACAGTGCACGTTCTCCGCTTGATAGTTTAGTTTTAATGTGACACAAAGAAGAATTATCTCCACTCTCTCGTGTGGTTCACGATAATCTATCCACGGAGTATTGTGTAGGGAGTACATAGGCATCTTTTGCCAGCGACATCCACGGAAGTTTGAGGTCGGCAGCGCCACACTCAAAAGCGAATGACACATCACATGGCTCGTTGAATCACCTACACGGCAATTCCGCCCGTCGTCCACCGTGCTGCGCAGGTTGAGCGGACTCGCGGTGGAGTGAAAGAGCTCATATCCGGTATCAGCTTCTCACCTCCGGCTCCGGAGTCCCGACGACCTTGCCCTCACTGTCCCATGACCTGCGTGAACGAGCAAGGCCTTGGGATCCACGTGAGAACGCAGCATAGCAGTGCAAACATGTCCAACGGCGCGCAGCTGCGGCGCCTGCTACGGAAGGACCTCGAAAGGAGTGTCTTGTCGTGGGAAGCAGCCGGGCCAGGGCGTTGTTGGCTCGTGAAGGTCGATGATGCGACGGGGGCGGCTTCGTTTGTCCTCCAGCGGAAGCGCTTTCTCGATCTCGACTTGGATAGCGACGGCTTTATGGACCGCAAACCCAAGGAAACTCGTGGAGCTCCCAAGAGCAGGCGATACGACTTCAGGTTCAAAGCTCATGCTGTAAACCAGATGGCGATACGACTGTTTCGCAATCTCCTGCAAGAGCCGGTGCGGTACAGGGCGCCCGACGAATCGGACGTGTCGGCGATTACGACGGTCGTGGAGAGAGAGTCGAGAGTTCCCAAGTGCGGTCAATTGCAGCCCTGGGAGCGTTGGAATGTGGATCACGTGCCTTTGGCATTCGTAAACGGGCTGATCGACACGTGGGACAAGAGAGGTGCGTTGCGGGTAGCAATCTCGCAGCCCTTTCCTGGCCTAGAGCAAAGGCAGTGCACCATGCAAATCATCTTTGGTCCGGGTGAGAAGACCATGCGATTTTCGGTGATTTTCCGAGGCACGGGAAAGCGGTGAAGAAAGCCGCGTACCACGAGGACGTGGACGTGCTTTTCCAGGAGAATGCGTGGGCCGACCAAAAATTCTGCATAGACTGGGCGAAGAGGTCCTACCGCGAAGGCCTGATGAGCAGGGGGGGTGAGCTCCCCAAGGCGAGGTCCATTCTTATCATGGACTATTTGAACGCGCAGACGACGGACGAGGTGCAACCAGTTGGTGCAGGAGCCGAGCGATTTCTCAAGGTGAAAGTTGGGACGCAGATGGACATATGGCTCGAGCGATGGATAATCTCGAGAGGTGGGAAACCGCGTCGCTGAAAGCTTCTGACAGGCGGGTACTGATCACTCAGTGGATGGGAGCGGCCACGGCAAGACTCAACAGTCAACAGGCGTTCCGATACCGCCTTTTCGAAAAGTGCGGGATGGCCATGACCGTGGACGGCTCAGGCGATGATCGAATTACCTAGGAGGGTCTGGACAAGCCGTACACCTTCGCAAACGATGAAGACAATAGTGAAGACGAACAAGGTTCGGAGAACGGCAGCGATGAGCCTGAGGGGCGGGGGGAGGAGGACGATGGAGGACGTGAGACGGTCGTGGAGGGCGCTAACTCCAGCGTTGAAGACGACGGCGGTAAGTTTGTTTTGCACTAGACCCACTCTGTACCATTCCCTTTTTTGATGACGATGTCCTTCATGTTGATGTTCGCTTGTGTTTTTGCTGATGTACTGTTTCCGCGCACGACCACGAACAAATGGTGATACAATAGCTTCATGTTGAGATATGGCGACGTGACACCCTAACTTCTTGTCGCGTTTCCCGGTGCCTCGTTCGCAGATAAGTCTCAACCCCAGACCGACGAGCTAGCTCTTCTGGACGACGACGACAGCATGGACCCACCAGACCCGGAGGACGAGATACAGGGAATGGGGACCCCGGCAGGCTTTCGTATTCAAGAAGCTAAACCCGTTGCTCTTGACAGATTGCTTTTACGACGTGGAGTGCTCGTTAGGCTGGGGATGGGGTGGTTTGGTGGTTTCATCACTCAACAATCTCAGAAGGACACTCGCCTCTGTACGGCTACTGTGTACAGGTGGAGCTAGACCAGAGTACGCGCAAGACGAAGTTGCCCTTAGACAAGTACAGCGGAGATCCGGATGCGGCTGTAGGCTCCTAGGTTTTGCTTGAGAGTGTTAGTAGATCGGGAAGGGTACGCAGGACCAGCGTCCGAATTGTGGACCAAGAAGGTTGACAGTTGCTGCTCCATGCCTTTGTGTTTTCTTGTACCAAACGACAACAGCAGTGTTCCTCATGGTTGACAGCCGCCAAAGTACGTCGTCATGCGTACGCCATAAAAGCAATCGGTGTTGAATTAAGAGTAAGACCCCCCCTTTCTGGAGAAGAATGGGACAACGCAATAAAAACTTAGCAAATAAGAACTGATGCTCGGATTGGGACAGCCAAGAAGAACTGAGCTTCGCTCAAAATAGGAGGTTCTTATGTGCGGGCCGGCACTGTAGTCCATACATGGTCTACACATTCCCTCATGCTGCCCTGTGGGTGGGTAATACAGGCTCGCCAACACGCTTGTTTGGTCGCTTATACCCCCAACAATGCGCAACGCACCTGTTTGTATGTATGCTAGCTAAGGCGGCAGCAGATCCAGTTCTCACACCCTGTGCTTCTGCTCGCCCCGCGGCGTTACTAGGTGAAATGGCAAAAGAAAAATGGCGCCCCGGGGCGATCGCTCCGTTCTTCGCATGTTATCGTGTGTGTTTTAGACTAGAGCCCCGGGGCGTTCTCCGTCAATGAGGCGTTTACCGCGTTCTTCACTGTTTTCGCTGAGAAGCTACATAGACAAGTCTATTGATCTGCAACTCCTCGATGAGTTTCGTCGGCGTTGTCTGTCTGAAGCTTCCTTTGTGTTTTTACTGAAAGCCGCAACTGCTTCCTACGGTAACACTCGCGACCACGAGACACAGCAAGAACAAAGAATCCGAAGAATGAAGACGTCCAGACCGCAATGAAGACGTTGAAACTACGGTGCCGACGATGACAAGGCCAAAAAACTTATTCCGAAGAAAACCTACGACGAAAGGAATCGTACGAAAGAGAACTATGCGCGAAAGAAATCGCATGACAAAACGTCTCAAGCAGTTCTCCCCGATGGGCTTACAGTGCCTGAAGTATGTTGTTGGTCGTTTGGCGACAGGCTTCCACCAGATGGGCTGCAGCGGCACCGACCGCGAGAGGGGTGACCCCCGGCGGCAGAGTCTGCGCCGGGGTGGTTCGGCAATGGCGACGGGGGAGACGGTTCAGGCGCAGACACTCGCGGAGGGAGCGGCAGCATCGGTAGCAGCACCAGCGGCGAGAGGGGGGACCACCGGCAGTCATGTGTTCCCCGCGACGCCGGCCGGGGGGGCGAACGGGGTGCAAGCACTCGCTGCTAAAGCTTTACCATCGGTAGCAGCACCTTATCTAAAGATAGTTTTTTCTAGGAATAGCAAATGTTTGGGCTAAATGGTTAGAAGTTAAGTAAGTAATCATTTTAAATGACACCCTTTGTTTATCTCAAAGATTTACTGACACCGACGGCGGCGAGAGTTGTGTCCCCCGGCGGTAGAGTTGTCCCCGCGGCGGCGACGGCGGCGGGGCAGACGGCCGGGGCGCAGACACTCGCGGGGGGAGCGGCAGCATCGGGAGCAGCACCGACGGCAAGAGGGGGGACCGCCAGCAGTCATGTTTTCCCAGTAACTTCCAGTACCTCGTTGACCGTCAGAACGTTGAGGCTAAAATATGTCGTTGGTACCCGCTGATTCGACTCCAAAGCCAGCTTTTGGTGTGTGGAAGGGAGAGGTGCGTTGACCACTGTATTTCGAGCGCTCGAAAACACGAATAAGTGCGTGCTGCAGAACCCGACAGTGAACCCCATGGGTCTGTTGTAAATGTTTCTGACCGTTTGTAGATAAACTCGCGAGAACGTACCGCACGGCATGCGGCCTCTAATCGTACAAATTAAGTGCGTCAGTCGCGTGTGTGACTATTATACTGGTATCAATACCATACATGTAGCCAGGGCCGACGTCATGCTACAATGCCACTACTTAATATCCGTCTACTGGCGTACTACTTGATACGAAGTATACGTCTAGTTGTACCAGTCCACATTTGGGGACATTGAAATACAAAAGAGAGTCTACACCCTTCACGTTCTGTCCACACGGACACGTAAATATCCCTGCACACGTAAATCTACAACCAAATCTCACTACCTCTCTGCAAGAGTTGAGGCTCAGCACCGCTTGGTGTTCTAGATGGTGACACTGATCTACACCTCGGGGTGTGTGACGTTCGGGAGAGGGTATTAGATTAGGAGCCCGTTTCATGGCTCAAGGAACAAAACTCCGGCCTTGGATACAAACAAGCCAACGTTTCTCCCAATCTTCGAACGGCGTCAGTGTGGGCACCGTGCACACAGGACTGACGGGTGGACACAAAACAAGCACGAACAGACGAATGTTAAAAAAAAATGGAGAGCCACGACCCAACCGAAAAGTCCATAGCCACTTGATCCATCCTCAAAAGAAAAAGTCTGTCCAGTTCTGCTCGATAGATCAGATGCAATTGGCGCGGGAACAACAAGATCTCTAGTCCCCCCCCCCCCCCCGCCCGCGCGTTCTCTCCTGCCTGCCCGCGAAGGACGGGCGTTGCGACTGAAAAACGTCCAGCTACAACTATTCCTTCTTCAAACTGGGGATTCCTGAAGAGCTTCCTCTCTTCGTCCTTAAGCTCCTTCTTCGCTTCTCTGGCTCATTTCCCAGTAATTGCCGAACCTGCACCCACCGCCGCAAACAAAGTTTTGCACAGTTGGGCCGGGGGGACTTCTGCGACCAGCGATTCTTCAGCGCCTTGTGATTGACTGACACGACGGATGTCCATTCAAACAAATCGTTGTCTCCTGTCCCGAAGAAAGATGTTGGTATGTAGAGCAACTTCATTTGTATGCTCGTCGAAGGTTTCATCCGGGTCACTTTTTAGATGAAATTAAGTTAGGGTTGTCTAGCTTATTACTTCGACTTTTCGTGTTTTGTCGGTTTTCATTGCGTTCTTCTTCCCGTAGTCATCGTTCTAGTTGATCGCTCTCGTGCCAAGGCTGGAATTGAGGCTCACCATACTAAACAAACTGAAAATATATTACTGTAGGAGGCAATCTACTCTAGCAGTGTCGTAGGCTCACCATACTAAACAAACTGAAAATATATTACGTAGGAGGCAATCTACTCTAGCGGTGTCGTAAAACAAGCAAACGCCGGAAAGTGCCACGTACAATCAGGATAAGCACTGGTAAACATACAGACAATTTCTATTTGATTTCATCCAATTTATGTTATTCGTCGCCCGCATGTTCGACCTATGCCCTACTTGAACAAGTCCGATCCGGGGGGTCACACAGAAACATTTCGCTGATGGGTGTGATTGAATCAATTACGCACAAGTGGAAGAGCATACGAGAGTATCACAGTGCGCCAAACTAATACAGCAAAAATAACTATATGAAATGGGCAGGAGTACCTTGAAGCTTTGGTCATGTACAGCCATCTCGCTGCTGATCCCCAGCTCAATCTTGAGCGTGTGCATGCTAATGAAGTCCCACGAGTTGAAGAAAGCTTGGTCCTCATCCGTGGGGGCCACGAACCAATCGTATGTGTCCTGCAAGGTTACAGGACGAGACCGAGGTGGGTACATTCAAAGCGTCATGTGCAGGCCGACCGATAAGCATCCATCTTGAGAGGCTTTGGAAATGGATGGTAGATCTGTTGGTGTGCTTCGAAGGCGTGTAATTTCAGATTGAGTAGCGTCCACATTTTCAAACGAAAACTAAAACAGAGGGGGTTGGCTTTGCGGCGGTCTCAGAACTTAGGACGGTCAACCTACGAGCCACGGACCAAGCACGCACGAAACCGGCCAGCCCGCAATGTGCTCGAGACAGGCGAGCGGTCGGGTTTTCGGCTTTCCCGTTAATCAGGGAGAAGCGATAGGCCTAGAGGAGGCGTGGGGGGGCGTGGACGATGTCTGCTTAGCATCCCCAAAATAAGGTCTATCGTTCGATGTTGACACTCGTACCCTCTGCACGTCGAGACAGGCGTCTGGCTTATAGGCACAACCCGCCTGCCACAGCAACGTTGTTGCAGTTGCAGCTGCAGCGATACAAAGGTTCATTGGGGATAAGCTATGGTGGTGCACTTGTTCTTCGAGGACAAGCCAGGGTCAGCATGTAACTCACTGGCTGTACAAGCGAATAAGAACTCACACGATACTTGATGAGGCCATGCTTTCGGTTTTTTGGAGCGTACGTCAACACCGAGTCTCGCCTCACAGGGCAGGGTATTGACAATGACGACGACGACGACGACAACAACAACAACAACAACATGCCTTGGTAGCACTTTCCATCTCCTGCTGTGCGTAGAAATCCCGCATGAGGTGGTCGAACGTCTGGTATAGAGGTTCTTCTCTCAAGGGGGGTACCTGGCTCGCAGGAACGAGAACGCAGAGAACAGTCACCGACAACGAGGAGGTTGACACAAAACGAGAACAATGCTCAAAATACACAGGAAAAACGCATTGAAAAAGACAAAAGACAGTCGACCGGAATAAGAATATGAAGACCTTGAACAGACACAACCACGCACAACACACAAAAACGCGTTACCGTCTCCAAACCTTTAACAGTCAGGTGTATGGTGCAAAGCTGCGTACAATTGTATGAATACGTTCTAACGTTGTTTCCCATGTGGTACTAGACTATAGTTCAAAATAGAAGCTTTTTCGTGGACGGTTCCCATTCGTTACCTTTGGAATATACGGCGGAAGGACATGTCTCTGGCTTAACCGTAACCAGTCAATCCCCTCAAAGAATTCGTGACTTTTCAGCTGCCGCCACCGAGAGAAAGAGGGCGAGAACAAAGAGAGAGAGAGACACGCACACAAACACAAAGATGAACAAAGGACAAGCGCCAGACCGACCTGGGTTGAAGGATAGCGAGACTGACGGAACCGTGGGAAGATAACATGCTCGTTGTCATGTCTTTGGTTTGAGCTCTACACCACAGATCGACACATTCCCCTACAACTTATATTGAGGGTTGGAGGGCTATATCATCGTTCTTGCCGAAGTGCTGACCATCTGGTTCGAAATCCCTCCAAGAGCTGGAATGGCGCAGTTCGGGTTCAAACCGCCGATCAGGCTGGTGAGAGTTGATGTTTCGGGTTACCAAACGTCAAATGAACAGATCAATCGTCGCCACACGCTTCACGTGCAGATTTGACACGGTTGATGTACTTCTATCCTGTTTCAATGTTTTCAGTAAAGGCCGTGCCAGACCCTGTAAGTCGTTAAGCCTCGACAGGCAACCGTCTCGGTAGGTACTCACAGCGAGCAAGTTGTCCGGGGTGCCCCCTAATCGCTCCGTCTCTTTGCAGGCCAAAAGCCCGGAGATGACACTCCTCGCCTCCGACCCCACGTACTCCGGCCACGAAATGGTATCAAGAAGCTCCTGAGAGACGAGGCAGCATGCGATCGACAACGTTGGCCGCGGCATCAAAAAAGGGCGCGCGCGCAACAGCAGCGAAAAACCATCGAACCATAACACACACCCGACAGCGGTAAATCCACCAAAAGTGAGAAGTCCACGGCGGCTGTGATCCAACAGAAGAGTCCCCCCAACAAAAATAGCATCAGCACGTCTTCACACCGCGAAACCGCATTGTTCTCGATGGCGTCGATATAACAACGGCGGCTGCACAGTTGGGTCACTCCTCCGCCCATGGTGGTACTGAGAAAATTCTTCCCCGGGGGAACGGATACAAACATGCGCACAAAGCCAAAACACACCGATAAGAGTGGTCGGGACACGTTCCTAAATTTTCGTTCTTGGCCGAACCCTTGCCCGTTAAAGGCGACATGGAATAACGCGCACCGAAGCCATAACTCCTTCGTATCTACCCGAGTCTAATTGGATGCGTACGGTGTGTTTTACGTGTCGTAATGATGCTTGTTGTACCGAATTCTTTGGTCCAGCTAAGGCTTATTAGACCAAGCACGCGAGCGACGAAACTGACTGAATCTCATCCGTCCTACCGAAAATGGTCGAGTTCACTCCCCAATCAGTTATTTGTGATCCAACCAATCAAGACTAAAAGCGACGCACGTTGTATTTTTTCTGATCCAAGCCCATGCGGCATCGCGTGTCGTCAACAAAAGCCTGAAACCGCCGCCTGTCAAACGGTCGACTCCCCGTCAAGAGCTTGAACACCGTCACGCCCAAGGACCAGTAGTCCACGGCCTGTGCATATCGGGCAAAGGAGAAGCATTTGAACGACGGCAAGCGTTTACGGGAAAGGATGGTGACGGCGACAGGGTTCTCGCCGGCTAGGCCAATGGGTTGCTTGCTAGAGGTCATGGTATGCAGAACGACCACTTTCCCATCGAATTTCGATCGCGCGCTCGTTACGCCTAAAACACAGATGATAGTCGAGCACTCAAGAACGACAGCTAATTTGTTCGGCACAGGAACCAACACGTCGATCGTGAATGTGCGCCTTTCGTGTTATTTTTGGTTTGGGGACAAGGAGAATCAAGGTCTGTCCGTTCGGAAATCCGCTCGCTGTGTTCATGGCAGGTCTTCTTCGTCTCACTCTCAGACAATCGTGCTGGAGGAACATTTGGAACCTGCCAGTCATTGACACATGCTGTGCTGCTTTTCTCACATCAGGTGGCGACAAATACGGCGTACTCGAGCGTTTTTTTTAATCCTTGGCTGTTTGTTTCATGTGATCTTTTTTGAATTGTTTGTTCCGAAATCCTACACCTGACGGTAGTTTGATCACGATCGCACGCCGTGGTTCCTCCTTGAATGACAGCTGTGCGACAATATCTCATCGGCAAGAATTATTGTCCAGCAAGGTTCTCATCTGTCAGATACAGTGCGGCTTGATGTTTCTCACGTTTGAGTAGCCCACCCTGACCGATCGAGGCTGCTTTGGAAGGATTACCATCTCCGGCGCCATGTAGCTACTCGACGCCCGTTCCCGCAAGGAACAGAAAGCGAAGCAAGAAACAAGGAGCGAGATGCGAAGCCATTGGAGACCACAGCTTAATGAGGAACGAGAAAGAAACGCGGCCATGTCGCCGCGTTGTTGTTGTGATTGTGGTGGTGGTGATGATGCAAAATATAGGAACATGAACTAAGACTTCGGTTGCGGCTTTGCCCTCCTATGCATACCGTTTGAAGGCGACGATACGAAGCGCGACAAACCAAACCCTCCATTCCCGACAAAAAGTGTGAGCTTCCGCCTGTATAAGTGCCATGCTAGCATGCCTTGGAGACCCGAAGCGGAATTGCGGCTTTCTCCTACTTACCCTTGCGTGCCCATGATGCTCCGTCGGCGGTGCTTGTTGTTGAGGGTTGGAGGCCCGTCCTTCGAGGACTTACCTTGCGGCAACGACCCTATCTCCGTCCCCGTGAAGGGATTCTTCTCCTGATTCGTGTTGAAAGATGAAAACGCTTACGTAAATCGATGCTCGACGGGCTGTCCATTCGACACATATACATTTAGAGCCTTCAAAGGATGAGATAGAACACAATTTAGAACAAGTGAGGGCCCCCAAGGGATGAGATAGGACACAAGTTCGAATATCTGTTGATGAGAGTCTGCGTTGAAATAACGTACCGAATAGAACCGCCGCATGCGAATCATGAACGTCGTCCAACGTCGTCTTGTGGGCACGAGTCAATGCCGACCTGTTCATGAATCTGGACCACAGAGTTCCCTTGAAACCTGCCCCACTACATTTCGTTCTCTCATCTCTAACCTGGACGGCTACCACATTTTTTAGTACCAACACAAATACATCTTATTGCGTTCTATCCCTTTGTAGATAACTACCTTCTTCTACACCAAAGGTTGGTATGCTTCCTCTGACCAGCTGAACCCACCTTGTTTGTCTCTAAACAGGTGCCGTCTGCAAATTCCGCCACCCCGCCCATGTCCGCCAACTTGACATGCCCGTCCCCCATGAGGAGCACGTTGCACGGCTGTGGGAAGGACACGGAGGAAAAAGGAACTCATTTGGAACTTAGTCGACGACCACGGCTCAGGTTACGACTTTCTTTGCGGTTTGGCTTTCTGCTAGGGTCGAAATGTCAATGCTTCACGAGGGAGCAAGAAATCTGTTCAAACAGTCGCCGATAACTCAACCTACTCGGGGCGAACTCGAAGGTACGTATAGTCCAAACACACCACCAGCAGAATGCGTTGCGAGCAACAACAGCGCATCTTTGGTACCTTGAGATCTCGGTACATGAGCCCGAGGTCGTGCAAATGCACCAGCGCCAGAATGATTTCCGCCGAGTAGAACTGGACCCTTTTTGCTTCGATCCTTCCCTCCGGGGCCGTATCGATCGCCTCCTGTGTGGATGCACAGTAGCACCAGTCGTGTATGGTCAAACAGCAGAAGCGCGGTCTGTCGCAGCCGTGGCTCCGTTTACGAGGGTGCCCTATAAGAGGGGCGTCCGGTATCAGAGAGTCGAAATCGGTTGTTACCGACTCCACCGGCACGCGAGGGGGCTCCGATGTAAGAGGGTCGAGGACTTTTCTCACACCACCGTCTTGTATCGGAGTCACGACTGTACAGATGTAAGGGTTGTTCGGCGATCGACATCCGACCTGAATCATCCTCTTATTCTTCGTTTTGAATCGGCGAAAGACCTTGATGAAATACGAATTACTGACAATTGTACCTGCGCGCCGGGTATTGCGCCGTTGATATCATCAAAAAACGTTGCATCTCTGTCCCTTCAAAGGAAAATTTTAGACAAAAGGCCATTCTTGTCCTACTTGAGGCACAACAACGAAGCACTGAGCGACACCCGAATCTCAGACAATAAATGTGTCTACGCGTCATCCCGTGATTCCTTTGCGGGACCTCATCGGATCCCCTCCGGCTCATCTTATATGGTGATGTCCTGACCTAAAAGAGGTGAAAGAGAGCGAAAAGGAATTCAACAGCGAACAATAGTTTCGCTGACGCGCATGACGCTTGTTGATTCACGACACGCTTCTTATCCGGAAAGAGCGCAGGTAGGGCTTCCTCCACCGGTGGCAAGCTGGAGACATAGCAAAAGATCAAGTCGCCGTTTCATCTCATTCGATGCCTTGCCTTTCTTTTCGTGCTCCAAACAATCCGTTCTGGGCAAACGGCACAACACGACCGTGTGTCCAGTCATGAACACGAAACCCTTCCATACTTTGTTTTACCTGAAGATCCCCCCCGGTGACAAGCTCGAGACACATTATCCCTAACTCCGGTGTTTGAAAAGCGTAGTCCATGCCCACGATAAACGGGTGATGTGTCACCGACAGTACGCGCCTTTGGAGCACCGCCCCGACGGCGAGGGGATCGATGCCCGTGCGAGTGGGGGGCGAGGGGTAGGGGGCTCACGTGATTAGACTGTTCAAGATACTTTTGGTGCCTTACGTGAAAGTCAACGACAGCCGCACACAATATTGAAGGTAAATCAGATGTAATGGTGACGTCGTTATCCGCATTGCAAGGCGGATGGTCGTTATCCGTACCACTTTGTAAGGTGGATTGTCATTATCCTCACCACACTGCAAGCTGGATTGTCGTAATACGTACCACATCGTAAGGTGGATTCCTTTCTAGTTTCCGCCTCATGATAACGATAGACCACACCCTGGTCGCATGTATTTGGAGATATAGGAAAAAGTAAAGAAACGTGAATGTCCACTCAGTAACAAAGAAGCCTTCTAGATGTATTCTTGCGCCCCGAGAACATTGTTACATTCTACAATTGTACTGCCTCTGAGGCTCTTATGCCACCCGAATGTTGGATTTGCACCGCATGGGGTCTCCTTTAGGCTTGAGTAATAGTCCTGACTCTCTGGCCCCCTGCAAGCAGAAGGGTATTGTCAGTGAAAAATGTGTTCGAACAACGCAAACGACGTGTACCTCTCATGGTCGATTCGGGTAGGGTCATCGTTGAATGTGTCGAGCAGCGCCGTCTTGAGCTGGATCTTCATTGCGTAGTGCGACTGGGTAGTCTTCTTCTTGACATGCACCACCCGACCGAACCCTCCCTCGCCGATCCTCTCGATGTACAGGAAGTCGTCCGGACATACCTGCGTGATCATGGCATTATGCAGAGAGCACAATGTATATTTTTCAGCGACCGCTACAAGCAACGCCGACAAACAGCACTACTTAAAAACGTGTAGTCGTTTCGGTCAGATTCCATACTAGAACGCTCGTCAAAGTCCCTGCCCCTAAAAACGCTCGAAGTGCCCACAAGCTAATTTCGTTCTCTTCATCTCCTTCAATCCCACCCATCCATGCCAGAGCCGTCGAGACCAACAAATCCAATCATCAAACCCCACCTGAACAAACCCAAACCTCATTGGAACCGACTCAACCACCCACACAAATTTCTCCCTACCCGAACAGCGAACCAACGACCCGGCCAATTCTCGCCTTGTTGTAAGCGTTCTTGATGTCGGCGTGCATCTGGGCGTACTCGGGAGAGGAGGAGAACCTCTGGAACGTGTTGTAGAACATCTCCTTGAACACCGCCTTCCGGAAGAAGTCGAACATGTCCGTCGTGATGCCGCTCTTGTTCCCGGCTTTGTCCACCATCCCGGCATCGATGATGTGCTTGATCTTCGCTCGCTCTTTCGCAGGGATGCTCCCCACCTGCGAGCGTACGAGTTTGGGTCGCGTGTGGTGTTGAGTGTTTATCGACGCCCACAGCTGCAGGAATGTCGTTTATAGCAGTTGCCCATAATATGGGCTGGACTTGGGTTTGATGATCATCTGCTCTAGTGTTTGATTTATGCTGGAGTGCCACGATAGCTGAGCAAATGGAACCCCAAGGAAAGGGGGCACGCGGATTTCCGATTGTGTTCCCTTGGCAACAGTGGCTCTCCAGAAACTCCTCGGGTCCGGTCAAACACGCACGAAAACGAACGTGGTGACCTGCTGCCCATGGATCGCTGTAGCATACCAGGCGGACAGTCAAAGTTTCCCGTCCAATGTTATGATGAGTGCCGAGTTGAGTTTCGTAGAAAAGCGAGTCTCGCTTTGATTGTATCTTCGTGTTTGGAGCTCTTCGCTGCTGTGTGCACTTCTGTGCATAGGTGCGTAGGAAACTACTGACAATGGGAAGCAGTGGGCGAGCCAAAAGTCACTGTCAAGTTAGGAACACAGCCTATAAACAGACACGTTATCACCAGTCTTTAAACAATGGGTATTGTGCGGGACGCAAAATACAACACACGCACAGGTTCGTTCAACTGTTTCTTTGTGTGCCCTGTAGATGTGCGGGAAACAATACGGTGTTCGTCTTCGTCCCCTGGAGTTGAGTATCTTGTTTTTTCGAGCTGCGCCTTCAGCTACAAAAAACTGATGAAACCTTGCTCGTGAGTTCTATGATCCACTCTTTTTGCTAGAAGATGCTTAAAAGGCGTACTTCAAAATCTGTACGGAGGGGAACAACCAACGAACCAAACGGCCGAAAATCTTGCCTGCAAGACGGCACCCTCTCGGATGTACTTCTGGTAGATGTGCATCGACTTCCCCCTCCGATAGTCCGCTGTCGGGATGCTACGGAACTCCTGGATGTCAACCCACGCATAGAATGACTCCTGCGGGTGTGCGCACACGTAGATAGCGTCGGGGGGATGACTGTCCGACGCACATAAAAGTTAATTGGCAAGCACCCATTGGATGTGAGGGACTGAATCAACCGAGTGATCATGGTTGGGTGAGTGAGTAGTGCATTCGGCAATCTATTCGACTTGTCACAGGGGTTGTGGGCACGGGATGAGACCAGGGGGGGGGGAAACTTGCGAGAACGTATGAGGAAAGTGTTCTTTTCATGCAAACCAAAACGTTCACGGTGATGAGACCTTCGACATTTTCCTTCAGCACGGTATAAGTGCCGACAACGGAGAGACGTGGTCTTGGCCCTCCCGGCATTCCCCCTGCCCGCGCCCACCTGTAGCGGGACCATTCTCGGTAATTTTGGACGGGATGCAAGCAACAATTGCGGCGTCACTTCTGATGTGATTATGTTCTTGTTTGAGATTTACGTAGATTATTACATGTGAGGTGCCCGAAGGGGTGCGACTGGCGTTAGTCAGTTGGTGTAACGATATTTTACCTGTGTCATGACTTTCTTGGCGAACTGGCCGATGTACTTCTGCCCGATCGGGTCCTCCAGTATGGCTCGCATTTCCAGTTTTCGCGGATCTCCACCCGTGAGGCTCTTGTCGTCGCTTAATTCTTTCTTCATCCCGTCTATTCCTGGAACGATCTACACCATAGAGTACCGATATGGAGAGGCATGAGAATAATCAACTGCCCGTAGGTGTCACGGGGGAAGGTGCCCCACAACGAGGATCACAAGGGCGAAGGAGGCTGACTACAAGACGCCAACAGCCAGTGGCGACAACAACAAACAAGAACAAAAACGAAGCAGTTCACGTAGTGATATTGAGCTCCCCTATTCAACGCAGTGCCTCCGGTAGCATTCGTCGTTCCCCTCTCCAATTTTCGGTGTCTATTAGGAAACCCTCGGCCATCCATCGTCCTTTCCGCCTCAATCAAACCCGTTGTTTTGCCTCACGACTTTTCGATGGGCATCGGCCAATCACAAAGGGGATTTCCAACTTAAACGTTCGTTTGAATACCCCCGGGATCACGGGTGAAGAAAGTCACCACAGTCTAGTCTAGCCCGGTGGCGACATCCTAAGGGACACAAGAGGCCCATGGCGGTCCACGGACCTCTATGGCGCTCCGTAGAACATGGGCACTCATGGGACTTCAAGATGGAGTCTACGGCTTGACGATGGAGCGCCATGGAAAACTACGGGTTGCCCCGGATGCAGTGGAATTTCATGGAATATGAGGCGAGACGAGGCCACATGTGTTTAGGAGAACGCGCATACTTTGCCTCTGGCTTGAGAGGCCCGCCCCATCGGACAACTTCGATCGCCGTTGACAGTGGCAGCAGGTCCACTGCAACGAATGGATTCGTCCATATTCGTCTGCTGTGCATAATAAGCGCAGCATGGCACGTCAAACACCGACCGAATCATGCAAGTGGGGGGTTTTGACATTATTGAGTTTTTGATCATGTCTCAGTCATGACTCGATCATGACCCGATCATGACTCGGTCGAGACGGTTATACCCCGGCCATGACTGGGTCATGACCTCTATCATGACTTCGATTATAACAGGGTCATGACTCGGTCATGACTCGGTCATGGCTCGGTCATAGCGACGGAGCTAAGACCTTGTTGCGGGTGCAAAGAAGCCATGCGCCCACATCTTTGACAGGCCGAAAACACCCCATTCAAGAAAAAAAGGGTAAATTCCCATGTTCCCGGGTGTGAACCCCCGCCCTAACCCGATCGATTTACGAGCGCTGCAATCCTGGTGCTCCTAAACAAACGTTATCTGATTTGGGAGGGGCATGAAACTGCCTAAAGACCCTAACGCTTACGCTAACCCTAACCCTAACCCGCTTCCCCAACCCACAATAGGTGCTAGGTTGGTGCTAGGTGGATACGGACTAGATTGGTGTTCCGGCATTGGCGCTAGTTTGGTGTTCATGGGAAAAATTCTAGCTGCAACATGACCGGGTAATAATCCGCAATCTGGTCGCATACATTCCTGGTAAAGTGAGAAAAGACAAACTAAGTCGTGACCCGGTCACGACTCGGTCATGATCCGATCATGATCGGGTCACGGAAGCGGGGCATGGCCGAAATCATGATGATATGCTCAATAGGCCGTCATCACGACCACTGACTACCCCAATAATCCCCGTTGCATTTTTCCAGGAAGTCTCGGCCAGTCTGTCGGATCATGACCGGGTCATGGTGCAGCCATGATGCTGTCTTACGGAGTCGTGACCGGTCGCGATGAGTGGACCATGACCGAGACATGACCATATCATCACCCTTCGTGACCCAGCCCTTGACCTGATGGTCTGTCGTGACCCGGGCATGACACGATCAGAAGCCGACAGAGAAAGAAGTTGACTAGTCTGTTGTAGACTATCGACGAGTGACAGACACACACGCAAAAAGGACCCCGGCTTGTCATTTCTATCATGCCCACCCATCCATATTTATCCTCCACGTCATCCCCAGGAGGCTCCGTAGATCAGTACTCCGTCGAGCACCTCCAAACATCCCCCCTGATCGATATAAGATACGATCTACGAAACCCTCCTCATGATTACTGCCAGGTAATGAGCCAAAACAGAAAAACAGAAAATATTTCTTCAACACCAACCTAGCGCCAATGCTGGCACATCTACCTACTAGTTGACCATCCACCCAGCGCCAACCTTGTACCTTTCGTGTGGGTATAGCGTTAGGGTTAGGGTTAGCGCTAGGGTTTTAGCCGCTTTCATGCCCCTGCCAAAGCAGAGAAATTATTGTTCAGGAAATCAGAGTGCGTTTAGATTGCTAATCAGTTGGTTGACGGTTGAAAGGGTAGAACACAAAATGCTGTGGCAAAGCAGAACAGGCCTTCGAGACTGGCAACATTTCACCCTTTTTATTTCCTGCATGGGGTGTTTTCGGCCTGTCGAGGGTGTGGATGCATGAATTACCCATAACAAGTTCACGGCCAAGTCATGACTGGGTCATGACTCAGTCATGAACTGGCCATGACCTAACCATATCCATGTCATGGTCGAGTAACGATCAGTTCACGACCCGGTCGTGACCGAGTCATGACCCGGTCACGAGTGACTCGGTCAAGTGCAGGTAATTCTGTGAGCATGACTCGGCCATGGCCTAGTCATACCTCGACCATGATCGAGGTACCGTAATGACTCCATCTCGTGATGATCAAATGACCGGGCGAGTCATGACTCAGTCAGTCATGATCGGGAAATGACTGGGTCAGTCATGAACCGATGACGATCACAGCCATGAGAAAACCCAACAAAATGTCAAAGCCCCACAGTTTCATAAAATCCCATGAAAATCGGCCATGGGTTTCATATGCCGTTTCCTGGTACACCGCGGGCGTGGGCCTTCATGCCTACCCCCTGGTTTGTGATGTGAATGGCTAGACTTTCGTGAAGGCAACTTGTTTTGCACGAACAGAAGTATAATTCGTCTCGTGAATGTCAGTGCCAACATTTGATGGGATAGGAAGGTGTGTTAGAATACGAAAGTAAATACTTCTATGCATACTTCGAAGTATACACCAAGGGTCTATATGAAAAAAAATCAAGACACAGGCGNATCCCTTCCCGCCTTTTCAACCCACCTCCTATGCCCCAGTACAGCTACCGTCCTTTCCTCTCTATTCCATGCCTCAAACATCTCCCTGTACGTTCCATCTATTTTTCCCAGCTCAGTCACGTACACTTCCCTCTCCTTCTTGTACAACGGACATTCCGCCACTACATGAAAGAGGGGCGTGGGGGGGGGTAATTTGGGGGGGTGAGACTCAAATTTCTTATTATTTTGTAAGGGGCACCATGGAACCCCTCCGCAGTAGGGGGGTCAATGAATTACTTTCGTGAACGAAGCCCCCTGTATTAATTCCTAAATAAAACAGATATCCAAGTTGGTTTCCCGGGGGGGATGGAGGGGGTGTGGCCTATGTGTCCGATTTTTTCTTTCACGTAGACCCTCGTTGTTGTTGTTGTTGTTGTTGTTGTTGTTGTTTTCTTCACATTAAACTCGTGTCAGTTGCTAATCCCAAAATCTAGCAAAGACTCGGTCCGTGGTCACAAAAATGCTAGAGCCATCAGAAGATCTAAAGAACACGCACACTATTAGCAAGAAAGGGGAACACAAGCCCGACGAGGTACACCTACAATCCCTGCAGCACGTTTGCGTGCTCACAACTGAACTACACGCCCACACACTACAATTTGACTACAGCAGCAGCATCACCCCCCGTGTCCCGCACTTAACCCTCGTGCGACACATTATCGTTAGTTGTCTAGCATAGTGTAAGGCAGGGTTCTTTGCGATCTTCATCAGAGCTCCCCAGAAATTGATAGACCCGAAAACGGGTGGTAGGTACAACAGCGTTGGACTTCCCGCCTTAGATGATCGACCGGTCAGTACAGTTTTTTACGGTAACTTCCAATGTACGGGGTCTTACGCCCTTTGATTGGTCGAGCGTTGGTTCGAGCGGTCGATTAAACTACTCTCCAGTGTCCTCTCTCTGTTGCGCATTCCGATATTCTTTTTTAGAACGCGACACCCCGTTCTCGCCCCGTTCTCGGTCACCATGCCGTCCGCGTTGGCCGTGGTGAGATGGTTCGGTTGGGTTGGGCCGGCACGACCGTAAACAGCTCCGATTGCGTGTGGTTGTCGGTGTCCACTCCATGTATGCCACCAGTCTAAAATACAAATGCAACAACATCGAGTATGGTCTACAGCGCAGTTGCTTCAATGTACACAGCAGGTTACGTGCATGTAGGTTTCCGCGAGATAACATGCCGCATGATGATTCATGTACGACTTGTCTAGTTTGCGACTGTACGATACAGCAGTAGTACCTTCCAGGCCGTCCCCTGCGCTTTTAGCTTTTGAGGACTTCGTGGTGACGACGTCGTCGCTGCGGCAAAAACGCTGGCCCCGCATCCCATCGGTTCGCCTCCCGTCCCACCGTGGCAAACCAAGTAGTTGTTAAGTGTGTACGCACCACCCCCAGGTGTCTTGCCGCCGCTGCTGCCACGGTCTCCCGAACGGCGTCTACTGCTGCGTCTGTAGGTATCGGCACGAGTTTCCCGCCCGTTCACACGCCGTGCCAAAGCTCCTCCTGTGTACAAGTATCAAGTAGGGCACCGTTTCCTCTTCCCCATCTCGACCACTTCACCGCAGAGACGAGGCGTGACCTAAGGTGCTTGCGCTGTATCTGCTGTGGGCTTGCAAACCGCTGTCGCCAACAACACCAGGCGTGCATTGCTATTGCGCCGCGCGTGGTCCGAGAACGTGAAAAAAAACACTCCACGATCTTGGCAGTTTCTCCTTGGGCGGCTTGAAATTGATTGGCCGAAACCATCGAGAACTCGAGAACTCGGAACCAGCTGCTCGGAACTACTCGGGCTACTAGCTACTCGCGACGCGGAACTCGGACCTCGAACACCGAACAAGTGAGGTTATCCTCTTGACTCTCGACTCTCTCTCAACTCGGTGTATGCTGTGTACGTTGTGTACTCTGTGTACTGTGTACTGTGTACCGTGCACTGTGTACTGCTGTGTACTGTGTACAGTGCTCCCTCGGCCGGAAATGAATCTAAGCAGGGTTCGGCCACAGGTGGTATTCTATTCCGCTCGTCGGTGACATGCTGTAGAACAGAGTAGTAGTGTTGTGACGAGGGAGTCCGATCCCCGTTCATAACACATTTTTTTCCCCAAAAAACATGGAGGTACAACGAAGCAGCATGTTGAAAAAAAAATCTTCTACTCGTTTTCGCCCGTCCAACTTGCTTATCATTGCCACCCTGAAAATTTGCCTTCGGTCAACACCAAAGGACTGCTCAACATAATGTACTTAGACACCTAGCTAAAGTAGCAAAAACACCCAGCAAAAAAATGGGAAAAAACTCTTGTTGGGGGGGCGTACGGAGAGAAAAAACGACAAAACATGCTATAATAATAATCATTCTTCGAGATATTACCACAAGCAGCAGTCACTCTTTTTTTTAAGAGAGTGAACATGACTCACAGAAAGACTCTACCCGTTCAAGCAGCAGTCATTCGAAGTTAGAAGGAGACGAATGAATGGACGAATGTGTTGAAACCTTTTGCGTGAGTCATTTTGCGAGGGGCAACCAACCCCACTCACTACTCCACAGCAGTCTTATGAACTTCCCTGGCGTTCTCTGATGTTGGTTGTCTGTTGTCTGTCCTAGAAGGTACCGCCGCAGCAGTGGCTTCGACATGTCAACACCCTCTGTGGTGGGTAATATGTGATGAACTGGTTGTTGACTGCTTGGGGGCCGTCGAACGACTGTAAATAAATGCACTCACATCGTAATAAGACCAGTGAGTGTCGGCTGTGTGCGATAGATAGTAGATTATTGGCTGTGGAAACGTGCTGCATGCAGCGGAAACGAACGGCTGTGCAAACATTACCTACCCTTGTCCGTAGATACGGGACTCCGACTGCTTACCGGTCAGCAATGCTTTAACCATGATCTGTACTTGTGTTCATACTCCCCTCGAGGACATATGGTACAGCGACACCTCCCCTGTGGGCAACAAGCTGACCATTTTTGTATTTCGTCCCATCGATGTTGGGCGCTTCGTTTTCTTCTCTTCCTCTCTGCTGTTCGATGACCGCATCTCTGTCTTAAATTTGCGCTTGTTTGCACCAATGATGGAGCATCGGACAAATAAATGGTTATCGACTTTCTCCCTGTGATGGACAACGCCTAGGCCTGTCCTCCATCGGCCGTTTTGCTTGTATGACGGAGAATAAGAAGGTGGAATTACTTGAAATTAGTATAGAAATAAAGTTTTTGTGTATCTAGATCGAAAATAAAACGGCCGATGGAGGACAGGCCTAACAACGCCGCGAAAATACAAAAATAGTCACATGCGAGACTTTACGCTAGGAGCACATGGTGCGCGAAAAATTGACACCAACCGCAAACAAAACCAAGCACTTTGATCCAAACGCCGAACTTGAGGCGCTAAGACATTGGATCTCCGTACGGCGTATGAAAATGTCTAGAAAGCAGCCTGACCTTACTTATTACACTTCAGCCAAAACTCAAATTCGAAGATTTGATCTGGTCAATTTCAGCGTATAATACACAGATACAAGAGATCTAATGCATGTGAGTGACCCGCTTCTTGGTGCGTCCTCTAGTTGTTTTTTGAAGAAGGCGTTCACGATGACCGGCATACAACTGGACGTTACTTTGAATTCTTGCAAAAGCGGCCAACCTTCAAAGCAAAAAAAATGGTGCCCAAAACATTGAGGCATGCATGTGGTTCGACACCTACGTTCAACTGGTGTTCGTGACAGGGGTCCTACGGACGTACCCAAGACGCGTACAACCTGCATCATAAGCTGTGCCATTCAACAATCCGAACAAATTACCAGAACAGAGTTACTACGCCGCCATGGCACATGGTACCCATTTCCCGGAATTTAAACAAAGTCGCCGAACCAAAAGACGCGGCAGCAGCGCACTAAGAAGCTCGTGACGGGGGGAGTTGTTGTGTTGTTGTTTTTCTCCCATCATTGGATTCTGTCGTCTGCCCCTCTGGCCCCTATCCTCCACTTCTACCAGCTAGACGACCCAACCGGGGTCACATAGGAGGGGGGGGTGAACCCCCTCCTGCGGTTCCTGCCTGATATGTTTCTATCGCGAGAAGGGTACCTGATATGTTTCTATCGCGAGAAGGGTACAGCAATCCCTTCCCTCGCGACTAAAGAAGTCGGTCAAGTTTACTAACAACGAGCTTTGCAGCGCGTCGCTTCCAACGGAGACCAGGATTTAATTAGCGAGAAAAAACTCACTCCGTCGGGACTCGAACTCATGACCTGGCCCTTAGCAGGCTGCGAGGCTATCCACTAGACCACCGGGGCGAGGGAGTGTGGTTACCCAATGGATTCGGCACCCTACTTGTACGGCAACCACAACATAAAAACCAAACGAAGGGGAGAGAAAACATCACACAGTACAAAAGTCGCAATGGCGAGGAAAGGACGAGGCACATGCCGACTTCGCTCTGGAAGCAGGAATATTGGATCGAAAATCCGCGCCGTCCCTTGAGGCTACTGGCGAGGCGCCAAGCTCCCGTCTCTCATTGCTGTTGTCATTATTGATCGTAAAATCATTCCGAGATTAGTTCTCTGCAGAGGGAAACACGTATTAAGCAACCTACCTTACACCCCATGAGGGTAAGACGGGGCCAATCATAAGACAGGGTGAAACGCGAGTCACCAACCGAACGCGCTAAAACCTTAACTAAAGGGAAGACGCGTACCACCTCCCACACTACCTGGGACATGTCCTACGTTCCTCCTGCAGGCAGGTGGCGCGAGGCTGGACATGTTACCTTCTGCTACTACTGCTGTCTCTTACGTACTGCTAATCCTTTAAACGTGCACGACCTAATTCTTTGTGATTCCGCGATGAATGCAAACATGCAGAAATGCAGTTCTATAAGTCATGTTTGCCCCTCTGTTTTACGTATATACACCCTTTGCATGACCTCGGACAAGAAAGCAAAGATACAGAGAGGGCGAATCCCTCCCCGTCGTCCGCTTGCTTGCCTCAACCAAAATTCCGCGCGGGAAGCGAAACAACATTTGTCATCGTGTCATCGTGACGTCGATGAAATTCACGAAACAAAATCGTGCAAGTCGAGAGGGAGGGAAAATGGGGGTTGAAAGCGACGGGCAGAGGACAACACCCCCTTCCCCACTCAAGCTCCCCGCGCTTCGACAGCCACCCTGTAACTGGAGAAAAAAATGCCTTACGAAACGCGTGATGGCCATTCCTCGAGCATTCGTGACTCTATTATGTTACCCCCGTACAGAACGACATATCCGTTTTTCTCTACGTTGCACGAGGGCCGCGTTCCCACAACAGACGTTAACACCGTACTCCTTCCCCCCTAAATCAAATGAACATGTTATAGACAACAGGAGGGGAGGGCTTCGGCAAATGTCGCCGCTCCAAGTAGGCGAGGAAGGGCGCAAAATATCACCACACAAGCTTTCCACCCTACAGGGCGAGAGCTTGACTAACCAACCCTCCAAAGCATCAATCGAACAATTGCTTCGGGCTAAAGACAGGCTAGAGACCTATTTAGCCGAACCACCGACTAGAAAAAAAGGGTAATCAGAAAATTCAACACGGTCCCGTCACACGCCCCCCCCCCCGTACCCCGCAGAGGAAATTCGAAGACGATTCAAGTTCCACCCGCCAGTGGATAAAAGACAGACGGGTGAAACATGAATAATTGCCGAACAACACAAACCCCACCCCCTATAGCTGCCAAAGCATATGACGCAACTGCAGCAGCATTCAGTGACGAACCCTTTTCCCGAAAAATAACCAACCAAAGAAGGGTTCACGGCGATCTCGAACGTTTCCGTTCAAAACGCAAAACTTCCTATACTACATGCCTCACTAGTCCACAGCACAAAAGCAGAGTAAACGAGAATTCGTTCTTCCGGCTCCTCCCCACGGCGTCGGCGGACACAAGCCTCTAGAGGCATGCCCTGCTATTTCAATAGCAAAATATATGGGGACGTTTTGAGTGAGTCTGGAAGCATGTCCTCTGCCTTCCCAAAGTAATGAAGATTGATAGTCCCAAACCTCATTCCAGCGCAAGTTATAAACGCACACATCCCCCCCCCCCCCCCCCCCCCCCCCCCCCCCCCCCCCCCCCCCCCCCCCCCCCCCCCCCCCCCCCCCCCCCCCCCCCCCCCCCCCCCCCCCCCNCCCCCCCCCCCCCGGTCCCCAAATCACAACCACACCTCCCACGTACATGTAGCCCCCGTGCTTTCTGGCGGCAACGTGATGCTGCCGGGATAAAGACGCAGGTCGCGGCACGCATATGCTCGCGCGAGAAACCACCTACTGCCAAATGTGATTTTCCACGATAACTAAAACAAGCAACACAAAACACGTACGGCATCATCAAAACACAGAAGGATGCCAACAAACACTCAGAAAACGCAAGAGGAAATACGGCAAGACGCGTGAGCGGGGTTCTCTATTGTCGCTGGCAGCCTCCCTTTGCCTGAGGAGTGGAACGACAACAAACAGCGCGTCAATGCTCTCTTGCTGGGAAAAAATGGCTCACAAAGCGTGCTACAAACTTTGGGCCACGATGAGTGAAGAGAGGCACCATACAGGCAAGTTTCACACGGAGGGTTACACCCTTCCACACATCGAACACACGGCAAAAGCACAGCAGCAACGCAAAAATGGGTGCGCGAGAGACAAGACGTCACGAGGGATGGGAACAATCCAGCCAGCCGTGACAAACAGCGAACCGGGATACTAAAAGCATGCCAAAATTCTTAAAAAAAAAGAGTTTACAACACACCCACCACGTGGGGAACAATCCCATCCCTGAGGACCCTCTCGACGAACCCAGCGTAAACCATGACTGCTACCGTTACACCACCAATCACCGTTTCACTCCAAAGCCTGTCGACCTCTTTCCCTCGAATAGGCAGGTGGCGGTGCAGTATGCTTCATGGCCCAACAAAACGATAAAACAGGCAAGCCAGAGACGAAAAGGAGTCAAGTCCAGCTCGAGCGAAGGCACAAGAGTGCAAGCAAGTACACAAGCGTGACAATGTACAGAAGCATGCAATTATGTTGGCGAACCAAGCACGGAGCAAAACATGAAAAACATCACAAAAGTGCAGGTCTCTTTTAATAATAAAGCCAAGGAAGCAAACCTTAAAGCGCGTATTTTCATCCGAAAATCACGTTCGTTGTTGGTAGGAAATGCAGAAAAAAAGGAAACCAAATGCCCTGAACCCCTACACAGGGGGAGTTGGTCTTCCTCTTCGTGTCAACACTCCGTCCGCTTCTTACACGGTAGGGCAAACGACTCTTCACGTGGGTTTACACAACCGGGTCCGCCGTGGCCACCCCCGCCGCCTACTTCTCCCGCTGAAGTAGAGCGGCACCAGTAGTCGCGATGAGAATAAAGCAGGGCGCCCGCATGAGCACCGCCGTTGAAGCAGCTTCTTCGACGCCCGTAACTGCCGCTAACAGGATGTAACTTCGGTGCAAAGGCAGTTTGCATCAGCGTCAATGCCCGATTGCCACGAAAAAATCTCCGCCGGCTATCCCACCACCGAAACCAAGCTACCGCCGGTCCGACCAGCCAATCCGCACGACGGGTCGGCCGCACAAAGCTCTCCAGGCGTGTGCCATGGCAGGGCCACCCACTGCTGCTGCTCCAAGTAGGCCGTCGCCGCCTCACTCATTAGCCGAAGAATCAGCATCAGCAGCAGCAGCATCATCTAGGAAAGATTCGAGCCGCCCCATGACAGCCCCGACCCTGGTCTCGATGCCCAACATTCGCCTCAACACCTCGCGGCTTACCGCGTCCTCAATCGCGGCAGTGTCAACGCCGACACCAACATCGCCGCCTCCTCCTCCGCCGGGGTTCGCCATGAGGGACCCCGCAGATTGGCTCTTCGGCGTGGAGAAGGGGAAGGTAGCGGCAGAAGTCGATTGGTCGTCCGACTCGATTGACGCCTTGCGAACCGCTGCTGAGTGTGGCTGTTGCTGGGGCTGCAGCAAGTGCTGCTGTTGTTGACGCTTCTGCTGCAAGAATCCGTCAGGCAAAGGCTCCCTGACGGTGCTTTCGGGCCCGCGGCCCGTGCTCTCGTGCTGCAGCTCGGTCCAGCGATCACCCACGGGTCTTGCGCCCTGCAACGTTTTTTTTTTGTGGTCGGTTGTTCGTAACAAAAAAAGAAAAAAGAAAAACATAAACGAAGGAAGAAATAAAACGTTTCAGTTTTTAGCTGTAACCGGGGAGTGAGTGACTGGGTGGCGGTGTTCGGACTGACGAATGCGAAAGTCCACACATGAGCGAAGTGGTTCAGATACAGCACCAGCAACATCTCCAGCAGCACGATTCGCAAGCCAGCCGAGTTATGAGCAGCGCCGGCCTCCCTCCAACGAGGCGACAAAAACCTGTGCTTTCTGCCGGATCCTTCTCCTCGTCGGTCATTTGAATAAAAATGCTGCTCGGGAAACCGTAGAAATGCAGGCAGCTTCCACTGACGCTGTGTGGATTCATTGCGAATCTAGACTCTTTTCTATAGATGGATTGTTGTGTCATACAAAGAAAAGAAAAATTATAACGTGAGACTAACAGATTTGTAAAGTTTCTATTTTGGTTCGTTGAAGGGCGCTGGGCTGTTCGAGACGACAAAACGACAGCTGTGTGAGGTCTTGAACTTAGGAAACGTCACGCCGCAGCTGGCATTCAGCAGTTAGTCCCGCTGCCTTCACCAAATGATGACACTGCTGTGCTCTCGTGAGCCCACGCCGGAGGGATGGATTACGTGTAGAGACTTTAAATAGGTGCATAACAGGGGGCCTCAGGGAGAGGGACCCTTCTGTGTGAACCACGGGTTGGAGTAGACGGCACGAATGCTGTGAGCACTGGTTTTTTGAAGTGATGACAAAAAAAAAAAAAAAATAGCAGGCAGCACAAACGACGAGGCAGGACGGAGCAACAACTCATAAAGGCCAGTTTGGCCGCCGGATGCCGCACCGTGAGCGGCTTCGACTTGGAGACGAACGCGGACAAGACGTCGTTGGACAAGAAGTCCTCCTTCGCATCCGCGCACGACAAGGCGATCCTTTGAGTTCTGCAACATCAAGACCAGCAACAATGCGACGGCAACGAGGCGACAAGAAAACCGGTTGTCAGTAGGTCATTCCTCTGTGATAACCCGGGAGCGTGCATGGCGGCGGATTACCTAAAACGCGGACAGATCGAGCAACACATCCGTATATTCCTATCCCGTTCTAGATGCGGAGGACAAACAATTGGAGGATACCGGCCGGGGTCACAGAATACTTTCTCTGGCTCGACCGTCTTCACCTGCTGTTTCTAGAGAGGCTAGAACCAGCCCAGTGCACGCATAATAAACATGCTGCAGTGTTTTCTTCAAATCGACTGTAGTGATTTTTTTTTTTAAACGGCAGCGTTGTAAAATCTAAAATCGACAAGGCGCATTGCATCCTGGGCGAAACGAGCTCTCGAAGTACGAAGGGTGGTGTAGGCTCTACGCGTTCCATCTCTCTTCCCATGACCGTCGAGGGTGCCTCCAACAAAAACAGCCTCCCCTCCTGCCCGAAGCCACGCCGTGTATATCTACCAGCTAGGATCACCCCATCAGGTTCTCACAGTAATACCTTGCTAGGGGAAGAATATACGGCATGACGTTGGCCCCCTTCTTAATGGAATCCGGTCGGGACAGCAGTCAGGTGTCAAAAATGTGCTTGCTACCTTTCCGGACCGCTTGCGTCCAACGCTTACCCAGCAACATTGTGCCAACGGCAAAACGTTTTCCATTGTAGATACCACACAACACACAGTTATTCCGTGTCTACGCGAGAGAATGAGAAAGTAAAGGCGTCGACGAAATATGTATCTCTGGGCGTGGTTAGCCGCGGTCCGCCGGTTTCAATCCATGATTATCCCCTCCGCTGTCTCGAGGTAGAATACAGCAAACGCCAGCTGCTCACGTAGCCTAGTTCTCTCATGGCGTTTCTTCCGAAGCCAAATTTATCCCGTGGCGCTTGATACACAGACCCACCGTTGAGCGTGCCATCACATATCTCTCTTGTATCCCCCCGCACGTTGAAGTTCTGCACTTACAGGCTCTTGGCAGCCTCGTGAAGTTCTTCCATCTCCTTGGGGTAGTTTTCCATCAGCATCACGAAGTTCGCTCGAGAGAGCCCATGGCAATGTGCGTCCTTCTGGGCAACCACGGCCGTAATCTGCGTCGCCCAACGCCCGACACAAGGCGGTCGATGACATCCCACAAAAACGAGCTCAACGGCGGTTGGGGGGGGGGGGGGGGGGGNNNNGGGGGGGGGGGGGGGGGGGGGGGGGGGGGGGGGGGGGGGGGGGGGGGGGCTCCACTACAAACAACAGCATCGACTGTGGCATTTTCTCGAAGCGGTAATCTCTGTTTGATTGTATGCATAGTTTCTAGAAGAAGCGAAAACAACAGACGCGACAACCAAAAGCGACAGCAGCTGCAGCAACAACAACACCACCACCATGCCAACAACACCATACCCTGTGCCTCTCGGAGCTGACGAGCCCGATCAAGCCCGCCATCTGGCCGTGTCTCAGGAACCCCACGCGCTCCTGCTTGTACTTGAGCATCACCTGGGGGGCGAAGCAGTCCGTCAGGACGGGCGGTTGGTGGTTGTTTGCGCGGGAATCGGTGCAAAGGAGGAAGCCACGCCGTCGGTGGTTGTGTGCGCGGGAATCGGCGCATAGGAGGAAGCCACAGGCACATGTAGTGTAGCGGGGGTGAGAAAAAAGAAGGTATGTCGACGAAGGGAACGGGGTGAGGAGAGGGGGGCTTCAGGGACATCGCTTCGAGGAGGAAAGCAGGAGCGGCAGCATGACGGGTAGAGGAAACACCAACACCAACAGCAGCGGCAGCAGCAGCAGCAACAACAACAACGACAACGACAACCCCCGCAACCATTACCCACGAGTCCACTGGCAATGAAGAATATTTCCTCCGGGTAGCAAGCAGCAGCACAGCAACCACTACTCACGAGTCCACTGGCGATGAAGAACATTTCGTCCGGCTGAGACCCCCTGCTGTACAGCACGTCTCCCGCCTGCAAAATATTGGGTAGCATACACAGTGGTGACAGTTTTCTAGAGCGACAAACTCGTCTTGGTCCCGACGCACGTACAATCGAAATACCGGCACAGCGGAGCAAAAGCAAACCAAGGACAAGTGGGCCGCACCGAAACTTGACCCCTCTGTCAGAACGAATTTTACTCGGGAGGGATACAATTATTTCTACTACATCTACTCGTCGGCGGCAGTAAGGACAAAGGCTACCCTCGCTAGACGGAGACCAAGGCCGAGGTTGTAGTGTTACCCGCTTTCCGGGGGCTGGAAGTTTTCTTTCACGGGATTTGGGCAAGGAGCAAGGTCTCAGACGAGAAAGAACACCACCGAACAGGGACGGCAGGGAATAGTCACAAGATCTTTCCACTCCACATCTCCGCAGGTGGCTTCGGAGGAGTAAAAATAACCATAGCGGGGTTTCTTGCTGCCCAACGATCAGCAAGACACTGCCCTCAGATCGTATCTTGCGATGCTACTCCTGTGTGTGCACTTGTGGATACGTCGTTTCTACACCTGTCCTCCACACACCAACTACTTTGGAAAATAATTGGAATTTCACCGTAAACTTTGGTAACGTTCTTGGGTTACGACAAAAAAAACTTTAAATGGGCATGCTCGTGAAGAGCCATGAACACCCAAAGACCCTTTCAGCTGTCGTGCAGTTGAAAATATAAAACGGCTTCATTTATTCACACGAACAAGAGGAGAAACGAAATTGAAAAGAGAACCCTGTTCTAGCGCCAGCCCCCTGTTGACTTGAATGGGGCACCTGCAGGGTGAACACAAAAAAAAGGTAAAAATCAGCAACCCCTTCTTCTCCCGTCTCGCACCATGAAGAGGCGCGGCTTTAGCATGACCACCACGTCCGCCACGAAGTTCTTGTCCTTGCCCTCCAGCCACGGGATCTGGGCGATCAAGTTCGCGTGGACGTACGTGATTACGTCCGCCCTAAGGCCCGCCGGCATGTCGGACACCAGCTCCTGCTCGTTGAAGGTGATCCAGTTGTCCTGCCTATACAGGGCAAACCTTTTTTTTTTGTTTTCCGGGGCGATTTTTTCCCAACACGTTCGGCGAGGGCGGGGAGCGGGCGGGCAACAATATTTATGAAGGCGGTCGGTCTTTCGTAGGACAAACAGTGGCCCTACATGGGGTAAGAAAAACCCCGCTGTGCTCGTGAAGAGAGTCTGGAGACGCTTGTTTGATCATGCTTGCTACGCTCGATCTTCAGAAGACATTTGGAAGGTGCGTGTCACCTAGGCCAAGTGTCAAGTCGACGGCCGTTGGAAGTAGCTCACTGTGCAAGAACCCACCGTACGCAGAGCATAAGGAGAGCGGCTACGAAGCTGGGGGGCACATAGCGTGCTGATGCCCGTAACCCTTGGTCCGGCCTCCACAAGGGAGTTCCACTGACAGTCTTCAAGGAGCTGCTTCCCAAATGCCGCCGGACCTACCTGGCTATGCTTCGGCACCTCTTTCAACTCACGCAAATAAATACGCCGCATACATGTCCGAAAATATATCTCCGAAAATACGTAGATACGACAGGCAGACCGCATGCGTGTGATTTCCGAAAAAATTACAGCAATCGATGAAGGACACCCAGGCAACATTCTTCGTCATCCCTGAGCAAAAGGTTTCCACAAAATTTCGAAAGCCTCACCGGAAGTGCTGTCGAACCTTCTTCGCCATGTCCGGGGGCAGGCCGGCAGCCTTGGAGAACGCCACCACCTCCCGCATTTTGCTGCTCGAGCACGGGTGCAGCAACAAACCCAATAGTGACGTAGGGACAACGAATATAGCATCAACGTGAGGTCACGCCGTGTTGAAACGAAGAGGCAAGGGGCCTCTGGTGTGGGGTAGGCGTACAGCACCTCGCGGTAAGCATGGGAGTGAGGACGTAACCGTGATACCGACGACACGGTTCTGGGCGTTTCAGCCGACAACGAGGACCGAGATGATGGCAGTGGTCAAACATAACAGCACCAAGGTTAAAACGACCATGACAGCAATGACAACATAGGCCTTTTCAACATCCAAAAAAAAAAAAAAAAAAAAA